CGGGAGGCGTAGCCGCGGCGGCCGGCGCTGCCCAGGGGTTGGAGGGCCTCCCGCCCACCCGCCCCCTTCCAGGCCCGAGACCCACCTGTCAGTTTGCAGCGCAGCCGCCTCCCCACCTCCGCCGCCGGCTGCCATACTCCGGCCTTGTCACTCACTCTCCGCTGGACCTTTCATCTGGGCTTTTTCCTTTCCTTTATTCCTCCCTTTAATTTCTTCCTTCCTAATTGGCCCCCTCTGGCTTTCCTCCCCGTGGACGGCTTGGTCTTGCGACTGTTGAAAAACCAGAACCAAAGTGTGTTCAATTTGGAATTCGAAGGCCGTGTTAGCTTAGCAGCCTGTGGGAGGGTTTTTTTTCCTCTTTACATTCCGAAACCCGGAGGTATAGGCGCGTAAGAGTCAGAAACTCATAAAAACCCGTTCAGCGTGCTTTCCGGCTCTCTGCCCATCTCTACGCGGTCGATGCCTATGTCCCCCCTTTCCTGCCCACACTCTCCTGTCACCGAAGAGAAACATTTCGGGTTAACTTCGGTGGGATGCTAAGCTGTCAAGCAGAGGCCTGTGTGGTTCAGACTTGGTTTTACGCTTTGATCTTGCGCAGTGGACATGCTACTTTTCTTGGATAAAGGAGAAAAGGAAACTTCACATTAACCCCTAAAATGGGATTTTTATTATAGAGATGTGCATTCCCAAGGCAATGGTTCCTACCCTGTCATCTTAGAATCACTGAAAATGCTCAGATGTATAAACACACAACCTTTCCCCTACAAGGTCAGGCCCTGGGCTGGGGTGGGAGCTTTGAGACCAATTCCTCTTCTCTCCCACCTCTTGATAGTGGACAGACCAGATTTCAATGAACTGCAGCAAGGCCCTCTCCCAGCCACAGGAAGACTGGGTGAGGAGAAGCTTCTCCTTATTTACCAAAACGAAAACAAAAAACCAAAAACATGAAAAAAAGGTTTGGGTGGAGGGTTTCAATGTCCAGAAAGATTTAAGCACTTCTGCCTTTGCAGAAGATTTAAGCACTTCTGCCCTTTTCTTCCTGTCACCTCGAGGCAAGAGACGGTTGCACTTGCCTGTGGGACAGAGCAACCTGGCCCTCCAGTCATTACATATCATGTTTGTTTTTGTTTTGACAAGAAGGACTCTCAGAAGGTTACATTGACATAGCCCCAAGTAGACGTGACAAATCAGAATAAAACGCTAATAGTATGTGCAGAAGATTCTACTTCTGGCTGACAAGTTGGTTGGGGGTCCGACGGAGGGAATCATGAAGTCTCTTCCGACCCCACC